ACGTTCCCTGGAATCCCCCACCGCATGTGGTTGCTCCGGGAAAAAACTCTCCCTCTTAAGTACTTGTGTATATGAAACTATTTCTTTGTTGTGAAGGTTGTTCTTTAAGCCATGTGTATAAACTTCTAAAAATGAAGGCTTACTGTTGGAAACAATAAAAGTCATTTTCACCATCCAGATTAAATTATAGTAATAAATTATTCTACAACAGAAACAAAAAGTAGTTCTAGTAATAGAAAGTATGAGAAAAAGTGAATATATGACAAAATAATATAACATTGTTGAAGAAAAAGAGAAACCACGGGGAATGCTGTTTACTTGTTTTATCATTCAGATATGGTTTTTGATCAAGATATTATTCAATGTTAACAAAAAAACATTGACTCAGGCACTTTATCAAAGGGTTTGTGGACATCAAAAACTGCATATATAACTAAGGTTGAAGCATTTATAATCCAAATGAAACAATTTGTGTTCGTATGATAAAATTGATAATAAGTGTGAATAAATAATACATAGTATGAAGTAGAGAGTATAATATGTGGAGAGAGTTCTCCTTCGTGTGTTCTTAATGAGCAATGCCTCATGCATATTTATAGTACATACGCATGGCAAATTACATGAGAGAGAATACAAGTTGCATGGCCCATGCAACTAGGCATGCAGGACAAGCCAACCTATGACATATTTTAATAATAATAATAATAATAATAGTAGTAAAATATCAAATATCGCAATACTCCCCTTCAAGGTGGAGTGTGAAGGTTACGAACACTCAACTTGCTCCGAAGAAATCGAAAATGATCTGCCCCAAGTGCTTTGGTGAAAATATCGGCCACCTGATTATTCATGGTGATAGGAAATGGTCGAATTTCATTACTAGCAACCCTTTCTCGAACGAAGCAACAATCTATTTCCACGTGTTTGGTACGTTCATGGAAAACCGGGTTAAGTGCAATATGTTGGGCGGCTTGATTATCACAATAGAGCGATGTAGGACCCATTTGAGAAACTGCAAGATCTTTTAGTAACCATCGTAACCATAAAATTTCACTAACTGTGATGGCCATATCTCGGTATTCTGCTTCAACAGAAGAGCGAGAGACAACAGACTGCTTCTTCGTTTGCCACGATATGGGTGAATTGCCAGGGGTGATGAAATAACCGATACTGGAGCGACGAGTAAAAGAGCATCCTGTCGAATCAGCATCACAATAGCCTTTTAAGGTGAAGTCATCCTCAGAAGACAAGAATATACCATGACCCGGTGTTTGCTTTAAGTAACGGAGGACGCGTATGGCGGCATCAAGATGGGTTTGTCTGGGGTTGTTGAGGAATTGACTGAGCTGACTTACAGAGTAAACAATGTCTAGACGAGTGACAGTGAGATATAACAGTCGTCCAATAAGTCATCGGTAGGAAGAGGCATCCACCAGAGGGCTATCATCATCTGGGCGGAGCTTTAAATTCTACTCCGTGTGGGTTTGACTGGGGCGGCCTGCCAGGAGACCACACTCTTCCAAAATGTCGAGGGTGTACTTTTGCTGACTCAAAACAAAACCTTCAGGAGAGCGAGCAACTTCAATACCGAGAAAGCATTTAAGTTTTCCCAAGTCTTTAATACTAAATTCCGTATCCAAATATCCCTTCACCGTGTTAATATGCGAAATGTCATTTCCAGCCAGTATTACATCATCTACGTAAACTAGAGCATAACTGGTAACAAGGCCCTAGAAGGTGAAAAGTGAGTAATCCGTTTGGGATTGACGGAAACCAATTTTGGTGAGAGCTTGAGTGAATTTATGATACCAATTACGGTATGTTTGTCGTAACCCATAAAGAGATTTTTGATAACTTGCAAACACGGGTAACAACTAACAAGTAGGCATGGACTTGGTTCGGGCTGACCGGACCGGGAACCAGCCCGGCCCAGCCCGCTATTGTGCGGGCCCGGCCCGGCCGGGGAAACCGGTTCTGGTACCAGGCTTAGGCCTGGCCCGAGAGGGTAACCAGGGGCAGTTCCGGGTCATGAAAAAGGCGAACCGGCCCGGTTCGGGCCTTTTTTTTGTTTTTTTTTTTTGTTGTTTGGGTTGGGTCTAGGTGGGCTGGGTTTGGTGTTTCTGAGGGGTTTGGGGGGTGGGGGGGCGATGGGGGTGGGGGGTGGGGGTTGAAATAAATAAGAAAACACCAAAAAAACGGAACCGGTAGACTCCTAAGCCGGTCCAGGGCCTTACCCAAAACTAGGGGTGGACTCGGGTCGGGCGGCCCGGCCCAGAACCGGCACGGCCCGGTTACTGTTTGGCCCGGCCTGGCCCGGGGCCCGGTGGGTCCACCGGTTTGGTTCGGCCCGGCCCGGCCCGGCTGCTGGGCGGTCCGGGCTCGGGCCCAGTTTTTGGTGAACCGGCCCGGCCGGTTCGGGCCGGTTTTTAATTTTTTTTTTTTGAATTTTTTTAAGTTTTGGGTTGGATTAGGTATTTTGGGCTATTTGAGGTGGTTTGGGGTGGCTTGGGGTTGAGGGGGAGGGGTTGGGGGTTAAATAGAAGAGCCAAAAAAAAAATTAGAACCGGTTAGGCCCGGCCCGGTTTGGCCCGGAACCGGAACGGGAACCGCCCACCGGCAGTTCGGGCTCGGGCCCAACTTTCTTGGCCCGAACCGGGCCCGAACTGGCCCGAGTCCAGGTCTACCCAAAACCATCCAAGCCCGGCTAGGCTTAGGCCCAAACCGGAACTGGACCGGGCCCAGTCCACCCCTAGTAACATACCTTTGCTAACGACATCGCCACTCACCTTTGCAAACACGTCACCGCTTGCCATCGCAAACGATGTCACTGCTCACCATCGCAATCGGCGTCGCATCTCACCGCTCACCAACACCGCTGGTTGCTCGAGTTTGATAAAATGAAGGACATCATATAGCAATCGGAGATGGGGATATAAGAAGAGAAAGTAGGCTTTAGATTTTAATCAGGGATAATTTTCCACATTCAAATCTATTTAATCTCTTTTTTTGTCCATAATAAAATAAAGTAATAAAGTCTCATTTTTGTCCACTTAATAGCCCATAGTCTTATTTTAGTCATTGTTTCATTTATGAACCTCATTGGAGAATCAAATGATTATGGCTACCATTCCCTACCAAACAAGCCCAAATACGTTTTGCATTATCATGGATCATCGGTTCCTTTTTAGCAAACAATGCTTGGATAGGCAACCAGTGACAAGGAAACTGTAGCTTCTATTGGTACATTAATTGGATGGACCCTGCCCACCCTCCAACCCAAAACAATCTCATTATCTATTCATATGCACGCTTGCTGCAAGAGAAAATTGTTCACCTCAGCTGCAACTTCATAAGCTTCCTCTACACATCGACCTAAAGCTACTCCTGAAACATAGCTACCCCCAAGAAACAGGCCTTTCAAGCCGTCATCTCGGATACCACTTTTTGCCACTTCTAGGATATCCAAATGACCCACCAAGAACTGTGGAATCGCTTGAGGCCACACTCTCACACCAAGAACAAGCGGATCCTTAGCATTTGGTTTTATGAGCATCTTCCTCAAATCACGGTCAACTGCTGCCACAAGTTCACCCTCCGTCTGTTGCAAAAACATTGAATAAACAAGAATAACCAGTAATGACAATTGTGCTAGGTGAACTTCATGCCTTGTTTGGTTAAACAATAAACTCCTGGTGGGATCACGTTATGTATCCGTGATCCGTGTTTAGATCATAGTTCTTGGGAATTTCCTTGGGGCCCGTGAGGGTGGAGGGTTTTAGAGAGCAGGGTCTACATGCCTATAAAAACTAAAGGATGACAATAGTAAATGACCATATAACATTTTGGATCATCACTATTTCATTTACAAAAAACATATTTATCACTCAAGATATAGACGCTAGAACACCTTCAACTCCAATACCATCCCATCCCACATACTCTTATATAAATAAACTCTTGATTCTTGAGGGTTTTGTTTGATTCTAAAATACCGTGCCATCCTCATCACTTACCAATGATGCAGTTCTGATCACTACCAAAACATGGCCTAAGATATACTACCTCAGTCCCAAAAAACTTTGCCATCTTTTAAGCTTTGATCAACTATATATTTTTAATGAAATTTAGCTATAATATAAAAATCATATGAAAATGTTCTTTGTTAAAAGCACTTTCATAACAGTATATTACTTCCACAATATTATACTAATCAAAATCATGGTCCAAATTTTATGAGATAGCAAAGTTTTTTGGGGCGTGAGTACATATTGCAGCTGTCTCCCACCAACACTTGTTTTTATTTCACTCTTCTCAACCTATATCAAGCTTTGTTCTTTAAATATCGCCCAGGTGTTAGTCTTACTCTGATATCTAACATATATTTCAAAAAGAAATACTCAAATCACAAATCATAATTACAAAACATCACACCTTAGACAAAATCCCAGGGTTGGTAGCCCCACCAATGTAGTTCAGAAGCAAAACCCTTCCTTCAGGTGCTCGATTAGGAAAAAGTGATGAGCTGTATAAAGTGCCTAAGGAATTGTGAAAGTATATTAGAATATACTTTAGAATATGCTTTAGAATATATTAGGAATATACCATATATAGTATTATTGTATAGCATCTTTTATAGGAATATTCTATCTTTGTAATCTATATTTATAGGGCTTTACCCTTCAATGAAATACACAGAAAATTCTTCTCTCTATCTTTAATATCATTCTAGTTTATATTTCAACATGGTATCAGAGCAGCCATTTTAGATAAGTTTGCCTTTTCAGATTTCAGTTTAGTCTTTCATATCTCAGTTTAGTTTTAATTTTCAGACTGGGTTCTTTCACCTGAGTTCAGTCCAGAATTTTAGAACCTCTAGGAACCACTGTCTTACAGAACCTCCTTGTCAGAAACCAACACTCCAGAATCTTCAGAACTTTTTTTTTCAGAACCTTAGTCCATCTCTGTAGAACATTGCAATAAGATTCATCACGCAATTGACACTTTTGCTCCGGCTGCTTCAAGCTGTTTCTTCGCTTCTTCAGCCTCTTCCTTGGACACTCCCTCCTTGAATTTCTTCGGCAAACCTTCAATCAACTCCTTCGCCTCTTTCAGCGCAAGGTTCGTCAAAGACCTAACCGCTTTAATCGTAGGAATTCTCGAGCTGCTAGGCACGTCTTCGATCACGACGTCGAACTCCGTCTTCTCTTCCACGACGGGGGAGGCATCTGCTGCGCCCGGACCTCCCGGAGCAGCGATTACGGCTGCCGGAGCCATCATAGCAGCGGAGACTCCGAGCTTGTCCTGTAGGTATTCGACGAGTTTCTGTGCGTCGAAGAGGGTGAGGCGGGATATTTCGTCTCCCAGCTGAACCACCTTCTCGGGGGCTTCAACGGCAGCGAGAGGACGGATATCTGTGGGAGGAAGACCGGTAGTTGGTCGCTGGGAACATCATCTGTGGATATCCGCTCCTTCGTCTTGTTCGCATATTTAGTGGGGCCTCACATCGGATATTTTCGGTCGCGCATCCGCCTTTCACTGGTTGGTCACGCATCGTACTAGCTTGGATTTAAGTTTGGAGTGCCCAAGCTGCGTATTTTATTATTCTCCCAAATCCACACATGGGAAAGCTGCTGTAAGTTCACTTTTTTTTTTCCTTCCTCCCGAATATACCATTTTTTATATTAATAAAAAAAAATCAAAAAAAAAAAAATAAAAAAATAAAAAAAAAAGGAAAGAAAAAAAAAAGGAAAGGAAATGTTTTATACAGGTCAATTTGATAGTGGAGTAATATGCAATTACTGCAAGAAGTCCGGGCACCTGCTTAAAGAATGTAGAAAATTGTTGTTCAAAAATCAAGGAAATCGGCTTCCTCATGTTGTTTCCGCTGCCAGTTCATTTGATGGATCAATTGCTATTTCTTCAGACGAGTATGCCAAATTTATTTGCTACCAAGAATCTCTAAAGCATTCATCTGTCCCTATCTCGGCAACAACGAATTCAGGTATTTCAAACACATGTCTTCTTTCATCATCCTCGAAATGGGTCATTGACTCAGGTGCCACAGATCATATGACCGGTAATCCTAGTCTATTCTCGTCATTTAATTCATATTTACCTACTTCTAGTGTCACTTTAGCTGATGGATCTACCTCACCCGTTCTTGGATCTGGTACTGTAGTTCCAACTTCTACATTACCATTATCGCCTGTTTTGAGTCTTCCTAATTTTGCATTTAATCTGCTTTCCATCAGTAAAATCACTCGTACTCTTAATTGTTCTGTAACATTTTTTCCTGGATATTGTGTGTTTCAGGATCTGTTAACGAAGCAGATTATTGGTAAAGGACATGAGTCAGCTGGTCTTTATATTTTGGATACATCCATCACAAAAGGTATCTCTTGTCTTGGGGTTGGGACTTTGTTAGATACTCATTACCGATTAGGACATCCATCTCTCTCATTAATGAAGCAAATAAATCCCCAATTTAATAAGATGACCTCTTTACAATGTGAGTCATGTCAATTTGCGAAACACCATCGTACTAGCTTAAGCCCGCGAGTTAATAAAAGAGCAAATGCTCCATTTGACCTTGTTCACTCTGATGTTTGGGGTGCTTGCCCAGTTGTGTCTAAAGCTGGTTTTAAATATTTTGTTACCTTTGTTGATGACTATTCCCGTATGACATGGCTGTATTTCATGAAACGTCGATCTGAGTTGTTCACTCATTTTTCTTCCTTTTGTGCTGAAATTAAAACTCAGTTTAACGTTCCTGTTCGGGTGTTAAGAGGAGACAATGCCCAAGAATATCTATCTGCTACATTTAAGTCATTTATGCTTCAACATGGCATTATTCATCAAACTTCATGCGTTGACACACCTCCTCAAAATGGAGTTGCAGAACGAAAGAACCGACATCTGTTAGAAACTGCAAGGGCTCTTCTATTGCAAATGAATGTGCCTAAACAGTTTTGGGCAGATGCCGTGTCTACTGCATGTTTTTTGATAAATCGAATGCCATCTTCTGTTTTGAATGGTAAAGCTCCTTATCATTGTCTATTTCCAAACAAAGAGCTTTTTCCTATCCCACCTAAAATATTTGGTTGCACTTGTTTTGTTAGAGATGTTAATCCCCATCTTACAAAGTTAGATCCCAAATCATTAAAATGTATTTTCTTGGGTTATTCTCGAGCCCAAAAGGGGTATAGATGTTTTTGTCCGAGTACTGGTCGGTATCTTGTTTCTATTGATGCATCATTTCACGAAAATACACCTTTTTCATCATCTAAGGAAGATATTCATGAGAGTAATGATGATATACTCATTTACACGATGACTATTCCAGAGTCCACACTTTCGACAAATATTCCACAAGTTACTGTTCCTGACCCTAGGTCTCCCGTACATTTGGTATACACCCGTCGACACAAAGCACCTGATCGCCCTCCACCGGCGATACCTGTGATTACTTATCCTGATACTAGTTCGACTCCGATCTCATGTCCTGAACCAGTACCTGCATCTTCAGATCTTGTCTCCGCATCAGATCTTGACCTCCCAATAGCACTACGTAAAGGTACACGGTCTTGTACTCATCCTATCTCTTCATTTGTGTCGTACAATCAGTTATCTCCTGCTTCATGTTCTTTTATTGCTTCCATTGATTCTATTTCTGTTCCCAAATCTGTCAAAGAAGCTTTGTCTCATCCTGAATGGCGTCATGCCATGGTAGAGGAAATGAATGCTTTAGATCTTAATGGTACTTGGGATTTGGTTGACTTGCCTACAGGGAAGAAATCTATTGGATGTAAGTGGGTCTTTGCTGTTAAGGTCAATCCAGATGGATCTATTGCTCGGTTGAAAGCTCGATTAGTTGCGAAGGGTTATGCTCAAACCTACGGTGTAGATTATTCTGACACTTTTTCTCCTGTTGCTAAATTAACATCTGTCAGGTTACTTATTTCACTCGCAGCAACTCATGGTTGGCACTTGCATCAGTTAGACATTAAAAATGCATTCTTGCATGGTGACCTCCAGGAGGAAGTTTATATCGAGCAACCTCCAGGGTTTGTTGCTCAGGGGGAGTATGGGAAAGTTTGTCGACTTCGCAAGTCTCTTTATGGTTTGAAACAAAGTCCGCGTGCATGGTTTGGGAAATTCAGTCAATCAATTGAACAGTTTGGAATGAAAAAAGGACAATCAGATCACTCTGTCTTTTACAGACAAACGCAAGCAGGTATCACATTGCTTGTGGTGTATGTTGATGATATTGTGATTACAGGGAGTGATAATGCAGGTATCTTGGCCCTAAAGAATTTTCTGCACAGCCAATTCCAGACGAAAGATCTTGGCTCATTGAAATATTTTTTGGGAATTGAGGTAACACGAAGTAAGAAAGGCATATTTCTATCTCAACGAAAATATGTACTTGACTTACTAGCTGAGACCGGGAAATTAGGGGCAAAACCAAGTACAACACCCATGGTTCCCAACGTTCAACTCACTCAAGAAGGCACACCGTTTGAAGACCCGGAAAGATATAGAAGACTGGTTGGAAAGCTTAATTATCTCGCAGTCACTCGCCCAGATATTGCGTATTCTGTGAGTGTAGTGAGTCAATACATGTCATCCCCAACCATTGATCATTGGGCTGCTGTAGAACACATATTATGTTACTTAAAGGGTGCACCAGGACGAGGTATTGTTTATCAAAACCATGATCACATGAGAATAGAGTGTTTTGCAGATGCTGATTGGGCCGGTTCTAAAGATGATCGAAGATCTACATCTGGTTATTGCGTCTTTGTTGGTGGTAATCTTGTATCTTGGAAGAGTAAGAAACAGAATGTGGTTTCTCGTTCGAGTGCTGAATCAGAATATCGAGCTATGGCACAATCTGCATGTGAGATCATATGGATAAGCCATTTATTGACTGAGCTCGGACTGAAGACATCAATGCCTGCTAAATTGTGGTGTGATAACCAAGCTGCTATACACATAGCAAACAATCCTGTATTTCATGAGAGAACAAAACATATTGAGGTCGATTGTCATTTTATTCGAGAAAAGATACAAAAAGGATTGATCTCTACAGGATATGTGAAGACTGGGGAACAACTTGGAGATCTGTTCACTAAAGCACTAAATGGAATTCGAGTTGGTTATTTATGTAACAAGTTGGGCATGATAAATATCTATGCTCCAACTTGAGGGGGAGTGTGAAAGTATATTAGAATATACTTTAGAATATGCTTTAGAATATATTAGGAATATACCATATATAGTATTATTGTATAGCATCTTTTATAGGAATATTCTATCTTTGTAATCTATATTTATAGGGCTTTACCCTTCAATGAAATACACAGAAAATTCTTCTCTCTATCTTTAATATCATTCTAGTTTATATTTCAACAGGAATAGACAGACAAAACAAAGTTTTAGTTTAACTTATAGTATGTGCAGGCATGGCAATAAGGAATACTCCATGCCCATTATATCATGCATAAATATAAAATTGAAAGTGCACAATAATACTTCTGATTATCCAATGCAACTGACCTAAGGTTTCAACCCCTTGGCTGCGTGGATGCAACTGGCCAAACCCCTTAAGCTCACCATTTATTAAGCATTTTGTCCGTATTGCTTCTTTTGGGTAAGAAACAGATACAGCTGCCACTGGTGGGTAGTAAAATTTTGATAGGGAATCAGCAGCTACAGCCTGCAAATAAGGGTTGCACACTTTCAAATATTTAGACTCCGATTGGTAGTATTAAGTGTACTTTTCAGCTTATTCTGTTTGCCATAATAATCAACAGAATAAAAATAATAATCTGCTTATTCAGTTGAGCAGTACTGTTTTACATAAGTAACCTTTGACTAACTTATTTGTCTGATACTCTGTTATAAATTTTAACAAACACTTATCCTTTAAGAATCAGCAAATTCAGCCATTTCAGCCATATAACCCTTACCAAACATGCCCTTATAGTTTAGTTTTGAAAGCTACACAAAAAGAGAAGGAACAAGGATGAAGCAGTAAAACATGAGTGTTGAATGATATGCGGCTCTCCATATAATTAGACAATATCAAAGGGCCAATTTAATACATATCCAAATTATAAAAGCATTACCAACATAAAATGAGACAATACCAAGGTATATATAAGGCCTTCAGAATGACCTTGTACAAAGTTAAAGAAGTTAGCTAAATGAAAGCCATTGAATGACTACCCTAAAAAAGTTGGCCACGAGCAAGTTATGAGAACAACAGAGACTATTTGAATGAACCCTAATGCAAACAGCAAGTTTAGCATATGGACAATATATGGTCCTAAAGAATAAGCTAGCTTAATGCATGAGACCATCTATTGCCAATAATGATGCT